TTGCACCGCCTGCTAATCAGCCTCTTCATAGAAGATTAGTAGAGGTATTGTATCAAAACAGTTATCTTTCATATAGATGTGTTGATTTTATTTTAGTTATTTTTGAAAGTATTTTTAAGATCTCGGTAGCAATGGGAAATCTTTCATCATTTAACCAAATGTTAGGGATTGATAGTAAAGTTGATATACTTAACATTTTAATATGCTGTGTTGCTATTTGCTACAGTTTTAAGGTACTGAAAAGAAACACAAAAAGACAATTCTTTATTATGTAGATGAATGTAAATCATTGAAATAAACTTTTTGCAGGTTTTTGAAGGTTTACGAGCAAAAGTACGGAAGATGTGCTCAACACCCCAGTCCCAACGATCGACCTCTTCTCTCCAGTCAACTCCCCCGCCTCCTCCAACCCACAGGAGGGCAGACTCTGACCCTGCTACAGAGTTCAGGAGAACGGGATCAATTATCAAGTATGGAAGGCAGTATTTTATACATATTTTTGTAGACATCATTCTCAGAGTACATGTTATTTTGACAAAAATGGAAAGACTAACATTTTAATTATTTTCAATGAACCATTTTCATTTGAGACTTAGAATCACTAGTATTCTTTGAAGCTGATATATTCATATGTGGTATTAGGCAACCACACCCATAGTTCTGGCTTACTTTTATTTTGTGGATTGAAATGTGAAATATTCAGAATCAGTGAAATCACCTCAAATCAGTCACTTACAGTTTATTTTTCTTCCATATTGCTTTCTTTATATTTTTTTTCTAATTGGTGCATTGTCTGTTTCTACATCCATCAACTGGACGTATTCACAGTATGAGGGGTGGATATGATTTAAATTATGTGCACCATGTATCCACCCCTCTTTAAGCTTTATGGGCTTTGGGATAAGGTGTTCATGTCATACTGCTATACTGAACCACAGAGAGATAAGTCGTTGGAATTTGTGTAAGGATAGAATATTAGAGACTCAAGTCTGGAGGCACAACATTGGAAAATATTGGTTCCTAGAAGTCATGTAAGAAACTGATTGGGATTCATTTCTACAAGAAGTTCCCTGAGTCAGCATGTAGCCATATATGTGATGGCTATGTGGATAGAAAAAAAGCACTGTTCCCCATTATTTTGAAAACTTAGTTTGTACCACTACCAGGAGGCCAGAATGGTTAGAAATGAACTCATTGATAGATAAATGATCAGAAAATTTTCTTCTACATTCCTGATTTAGAGCTTCTCGTTTCAGCTCCCCTTTGCCACCACTGCCATCTGATAAGTGTGCTGTTAGTGTAAGTTCTTCCTCCACATCCGGCCACTCCTCGCAGAGATCATCGCAGGCATCTTCACTATATGCTCATTTCCACTCAGCTTCTCATGATGATGAATTATATGCCAAGCCTCAGGTAACATAATCCTCTTTATTGTGGAGTTGTGCAGGGTGTATCATATAATCTAAATATTCCTGTCCCTTATGTCTTTCTTTTTCCATTCCTTCTCCCATTTAAATCGCTGATTCAACTTTCATCAGGAATGGGACGAGGGAGTTGCCAGCATGCGCGACTCACGGCCCCGATCTGCCTTCATTACGGATAGCAGAGGCTCCTCCCCGAAGTCTCTCTCCAAGTCCCTCAACAATGATTATATGATTGTACCTTCTCAGAAAAGGTTAGCTATTATTGTAGTTATTTTTATAAGTGCTATTATTATAACTATTATGATTATAATAATGATAATAAAGATTATAATAATAATAATAATAATAATAATAATAATAATAATAAAAATAATAAAAATAATAATGATAATTATGATAATAGTTGTTATTATTATTGTTGTGGTTGCAGTTGTGGTTGTGGTTCTTGTTGTTAATGTTATTATTCTTATGTAGGTTTATATTTTAGTCAACATTAACCTCTGCTATTTGTCTTTTCTCTGCTATAGTTAACTGTCATTAATGTTGATCTTTTTTATAAACAAATTCTTTTTTTAGCAGTTCTGATGAAAACAGACGGTCTCGCCACTCTCGTCCACCAAGCCCTCATTCAGCTAGAATCTCCGGTACTCATGACTCACTCAACACTTCATGGAGCGATTCTCATGGATCACAAGAATCTCTTCCCCCCCTCCCACCAAGAGGTACGATCGTGTCAGTATTCGTTTTAGATAATTTTTTGTGCAAATTCAGTTCTTGTTATTTTTTGAGAAACTGCTGCATGTATGTCTGGTGAAGTCTCATTCTTGAAAAGATGTGTGGAGACATTTACCTGTTCAGTAGCAAATATATGCGGCAATAGGAGACTGAAAACAAGATCAAGAAGTGCTGTATATAGTGGGCGTAAATGATAGAATGCACATCATAGAAAATTATCATGTACTTTTATATGATATAAAGATTCTACTATCAGCCCAAGATACCTTTTTTGCAATTCTCTAGAAAAACAGGAAAATACTGCAAATGAGGCTATAGAACTACAAACTTGATTTTCATTATATGTCATATTAAGTAATTGGGGAGGCAGATAGTCTGAATTGCTTCTGGAATTTATCCCCTGAATGCCATATAAGCTTTTCACAAATTGAGTGAAGTCTTATTTTTTACAAGTTATCTAGATGCAACTCACCTGATCTGAGATTTTATAGTAAGTTGTTTTTCTTCATTCCAAAAATTATTACTTACTATTTTCTGTGTCATTTTTCTGGATCTCTTAGAGAGCTTAAACCTTTTTACTTCTCTTCCTCATTATGGGAATCTCATCATCCTTGTGGTTCTCATCTCAGAAGCCTCTCATGAATAATGTTAAAGAATTAATTTGTTTACCTCCATATATAATAATGCTCCTAATGTCAGTCAGAAGGCCTCTTTTGTTAGAAATAAGTGCCATGGATGACAGCTTTCATTTATCCAATTGAGGTTAAGTCAGGGATAAAGCACATCTCAAATCTGAGGCTACATGAAAATTATTATGTGAAGCCAAATTAACATTAATATGATGTGGAAAATGACAATAGGACAAGTATAATTTCTCTAACAGAACATGACAATAGGACAAGTATAATTTCTCTAACAGAACATGACAATAGGACAAAAGAACTTGTGTCTTCATCCATGACTGTAAAAGACTACACCAGATGCAGGTGTTGCAGTAATTGTCACTGTGTTTTTTTGTCTATTATGAATTTGTATAATAATTTATTTGGTAACCATCATTGAAATAAAGAGATACTTGTTCCTAAAAATGGTTGACAGTGAAAATATAGGTTTGCTGAATATTTTAAACTTTTTCTTTGGCATATTTGTGAACTGCCACAAATATGCCATGAAGGTAAAATGAGAAGACTATTTATGTTACTTTACATAGATCATTTTGCAGGAAACGAAAGACAGACTCGCTCAGTTAGCCTTGGGGGGGAGGAAGACGCTCCTCCTCCAGTGCTCCCCAAGAGGATGGGCAAGAAGGTACGTGCTGCCAGTTTCAACATGGGAGACAAGATCAATAGCTTGTCTGAGTGATGTAGTTGATGTAGGAAAGAAGCTCCTGATAACTGTTTTCATTGTATGATGGTGCTACAAGAAATTATACTTTTTTAGCTTCATGTAATTTGTGACAGAAATGTTGCTTGAGGCCTATTTGCAATCAGTGTGTTTTTTTAGATTAACTGTACATAGAGATTGCTGGAGTGCAGGCCATGTAGTTTGTGACAGAAATGGAATTCATTCATAGTATTCTGAAGTACAGTATGCACATTTTCCTTTCCCCTCCATTGTTATTTACCACCACAACATAACTTTGTACAGTGCTCGTCGCCTGCCATGTTTGGGTCTGATCAGCTCCTGGGTGATGGTGTGGATGGAAGCAGCAGTAGCGGCGGTGGCCTCAGTAACGGCTTTCCTGCCTCCACCCCTGGCACCCCTCCGTTGCTCTCACCGCGTAACCACCGCACTCCCCCACCACCACCTATACCTCCCAAGTCAACTTCTACCCCACTCACTCCACTGTCACCACCCTCAAGCTTCACCCTCAACACTTCTGGTGATGACTTAACACCTACCACACCAACTAATATATACATAGGTGATATAGAAAATACGCATCCCAGTCTTCACGAGAACTATTCCGTGCCACCTCGACTTCAGCCATATCCTCCACCATCTTCCTGAATCTTCTTGTGCTTTTCCCTAGAAGTGCTGGTGTTCGCATTTTGATGTGTTGGTATGGTTTCTATTTGGAATTACTCACATAATTCTGTTTTATTTTCAACAGTGTAATTTGTTTTTAATCCCAGATATGGTATATTATTTAGGCATGCATATTTGGGTTCAATTATAGAAAAAAATTGTGGTTCACATAAGATTTCATGAATTCCATTATTTGTTATAAGCTTAAATCAAGTTTCATATAAAAATTCTAAGAATGAATTAGACTTGCATACTTAAGTAAAAGAAAAAATCATATATCCATAATCTATGATGATATTATTATCTTTTATGTGAGTACACTCAACAACAAATACAGAAAAAAAAACTTATTTTCCTTCTATAACAAAAAATAGACCTGCAGCCTATTTGTCTATCTTTGCCTCTCTTTCTCTCCCTTGTTCATAATCTTAGTGTGTCTCAGTAACTGAATTACAGTATCAGATTCAGTCTCAATCTTTCACATTCTCATTCTCATGCACATTTTTTACACATCTGTATTTTAATCATACCAATACATGATGACTTTCTGTTTCTCCCCAGGAAAGTGTTTGTGAATGCAAATCTTACTGTTTTTCATCTGTGGTCAACATCTTGCCTTCTCTGCTTCCATTTTATATATGATCATACCCAATCATCCTAATTCTTGCTCCACAGTTGAAATCTGACCAACTGTTGAGTTTTCATTGGTCTTGTCCATACTCATTCTAATGTTCTAATTTGAAAAAAATAACCATGTTGGAATAATTCAAAAGGAATTAAAACCTGATCTTGAGAAAAGGTATTACTTACCTTGTCAGATAAAGTTAACTTCATGAAACTGGACAAAGTGAAGCATGTGTATGGTTACATATTTCATCATAGAATATCTTTTGATAACTTAGGTTATGAAAGGAACTGAAATGATATTGTTTTTCTTATCATGGCCTATTGTTAATTGTATGGACAAGATGCTTGTATTGCTTAGTAGACTGGCTGTGTCTTAAATCTTTGTCTTTATTTTATTTTAAAGTGAAAAAGCATATCAGGATGGTTTTTATGTTTTTCTGGGAAAAAGATGTCCGGTAAGATAGATAACACTATCAGCCTCTGACTAGAATAACATAAGTTAAAAAATCAATATATCAAAAGTACAATTTAGCATTATGACTGGTAATACTGATGTTCTTCTGACTACATTTTTTATTGTTTTTGATCAGATGTCAATTAGAGATCAAGATGAGCCAACATGTGATTGATGCACATGCTCTGAAAATAGCAATATTTCAATCAGACAATAAAATGGATCTGAAGGGGAAAATATTATTAATAATCATTTAGACTTCATTGATGCAAGTCTGGTCTACATATCATGTCAGCTAACTTTGGTTTGGTTAGCTTTAATGTGACTATTTACTCTATCAATATAATGGCATCTAGCTGATCCTCAATACTGTTCGGGATTAGAATGGAATGAATGTATATGATAAGGTGTTCTTTTTCCTTTGTCCTCTTTTTTATATGTGAAATAGAAATTTAACCTGCAAGGAATCTGTATAAAAGTATATATAATAGAAGACTAATTTTTGCATATTACATAGTAGTGATATAGAAAATTAGAGGCTTTTGATATTGTAAGTTGATGCTTAGATCTTGAAGCTATTTATTCATACATGTTAGACCATCTGATTCTGTTAAGAACTGTATTTACGTCTAGTCACTGCCGAAGACAAACTTAGGCTGAAATTATGGCTAGTTTAGTTAAGCCTTAGAAATGCTATGATATTTTGAGATGACAGTTACTGAATACTATGAATGAAATGTGAATGGAGTTATGCATTTGTTTAATGTTATTATTTTTTGTTTTGTTTTATTGGTTTGGAAATGTTAATTTTTTTATTTTTACCCTTTGTTTTCAATATGACCTGTATATAGTTGTGTTTTATTCATTTATTTATTAATAATTTTGGAGATAGAACATTCATAAAGCATTTGTTGATTAGGGTTTCTCTAAGCTGACAACAATGATCTGATAAGGTGATCTGAATCTGGTTTCAAATTAAGTTTGTTTTTTCTTTATACACAAGAAATTGTGGCTACTGCTTTTGATTAGCTGGTGCCATACTTGGTGTTGAGTGTCTGCCGGTAGCCATGAGTTATATCTTATATGGTCAATAGTTTGCCGCAGTAGTAATACATATTTACAGGTTGTCAATACAAATACGATGTACTCATGGTGTAGACCTTACAGTATTTTGTATATAGAGGAAAAATAAAAGGTGCTCCATCTTGCCTTTAGAGATTGTCTTTAGGAAAGCATTTTCATTTGTATAATAGATCAAAATGTATAGTTATCTAACTTTTATGTTATGAACTGCATGTGATGATATATGAGTATGCACTGTATACTATATTATTTTATAGAATAGTATTAATATCTGTATTGTCACTAGGAAATAATTTCATGACTGTTTTGTTGATCTTGATATGCATTTAGCATAATTCACCTTCTATTGAACTATACTTCTTATGTGTTATTTCTGTATCTGCAATATTGTATACTTGATTTTAAAATTTTGTTTTTGTTCTGTGCATTATTTGATGTTAAAAGTATATTTTTTTGTGATAATCATAGACTTGATTTGGTGGATGACATTTTGTGTAAATGTCATGATAGTTGTTATATTTATTGTACAATGTTTTTCCTTCTTTCTTCCACCTCAAAGTTTATGAAAACAAGAAGTGTGCAACTTTATTGATATCATAGAAATTGGATTATGAATTCAGTATTAACTTGTAAGAATTTGTGAGTCTTAGAGATAATTTTGCATGAAAAATGGCCAAATAGTGAGAAAAGAGTATCATATGGCAAGTGTGAAATGCAGAATTTTCATGTTAAAAGCTAACAGTAAAATACACTCAAGCACACACAATTAAACATCTTTGTGTACACCACATTATATATGGATCTGTGCATGCACACTGTTCAGTTACCTAAGCACACAAACACTCATACAGTACTCATATATGTATGCATGCAAGCACATGGATGCATGATCACATTAACAGGTGAATGAGCTTCCATGCAATACTGTTGATTTTCCCAATTTGTTCCGTAGATGTTTCCTTATGCTGAAGAACCTTGAACAACATGAAGTGCTCAAATACCACATGACGTCAATGAAGATTTTGCTTTGAATGCTGAAGGTACCTGAAAAATTAAAAAGTAATACTTGGGATTTGGAATTAAGTTTACTTATCAATCACAGCTTATTTCTGATAATGTGATTCAGTTTAATCAGTGTTATCTCTACCTTTTAATGAAAATTAAAATTAGTTTTAATGCTAGCTATTGCAAACAATTAACCAGCCAACAGAATTGTGAAAATGTGGTAGGGAACATCTTTGTACATGTAGGTATGAATATCTGGGTGCTTGTTAGAAACTTGTTTTTGATTTTTATATTTTTTTGATTGTGTGTGCTAGTAGGGATACATGATATGTGCATGCTTGATTATATAATTCTCTGTACATTCTGAATAATCTGTTTTGATATGTAGTCATGTACTGGGAAGTTCTGTAAATATTTGATTAAATGTCTTTCATTGCATCATAAAGCCAGTAATAATGTATAAGTCCAACAGTGGCCTATTTGCTTAAAGTTATTTTTCACTTTGTAGACCTTGTGAAAATATCCAACAGATAATTTTCAGCAACAAAGCCCCAACATGTGCATGCTCTAAAAGCAGTGGGCACTGATTGTTTTGAGGACTTCCTCAAAACACAATATCAGCTATTCTCTTAGATGTTGATTGCACAGGAAATGCCAAAGAAATCTTAGCTTTTGGTCTCCAGCTAACATCATCACAGCTTTGTCCTTTTTGCATATATTTTTTTCAGTTAGTGAGTACTAGGAATTCATTATACTTTATTTAACTTTAGATTATTAAATAGCTGATTTCCATATATCTGTTATTGAAAGAAAAATATAAACCAGTGACATGGCTGTTTATCATAAAATAACTGTGGAACATATTTGCCACATTAAAATGAAAAACATGTGAATCTATTCAATATATATATTTTTTTTATCTGAAAATATTTTGCTAGTTTGTATGTTGTGATCTATATGATAGGTTAATTATTTCTTTATTTGTATAGATAGTATGTATGCATGTACATAGAGGTATGTATGTATTGAACACATAAGTAACACCCTTTTAACATCAATGAGTATATACATATACACAACTAAAGCTTTCTTGTTTGTGCTGTTAGCCAGACTCACTGCAAGTTAATGCCAGGTCGACCAGGAAAAGAATGTGCTAGAAAAGGCGTACTTGAATAATAATTATCATGATCTTGGAGTGTATTTAGAACATTCCATAAGACAATATGAATTATAGATCATGCTAGGTTATACACTATATACTTTGAGAGCAAAAATTTACTTTCCACATCAATGTATTACACTACCACATTTAAATTTTACCGCCTGTTCCTGTTATTAATTTCCAACGTGCTGCATCGTGTATCAAGACCGCAATTTCCCAAATAAGCTATTTACAACATTGTAACATTGCACTCAATATCTCTCACTTCTCACGAGTCATGCCTATCCGAGTATTGTTTATGTGTTGTCTACTATAGTATGTCGTCCTACTAATATTGTGACATGCGAGATGCCAAAGGGGAGATGCACAGAACTTAACTGATATCTACTTATCTTCACTTAAGATATCCTAACTAATCCCTTGATCCATTGGACTGGGAGAAATTATTCTCTTCATTATTTTTGATCCCTTAGCATATAGTTAGTAATTGATTAACTATCTCCTCATATATGATAACTAGCCAAATAATAATTTATATACACCATCGCATGTTGACACACCTTAGAACAAAAAGAAAAATTAAAATGAAGATGTTATGGGTGCCACAACTCCATGGGTGACCAAGAGTAATGAGGAGTTTCTGAGTGCTGTTAGGTTCTACGCTCATCATGAGTAAGCAAAATGCTTTGTCCATTCTGTGTGCCGAACCAACTCGAATTGATGATGTAACACAACTTTTAAATAATACAACTAAATTTAATAACGTGAGATGTTCATCTCAATTGTTCCCCTTAGAGTGAGACATATGCCGATCACAAGTAGTCAACCAGTCATGCAGACCACCTAATAAGCATGTACGAGACACCAATTAATATGTATGAAGATTCTTCTACAATTATATTCTGCCTAACTGAAAAGTGGAAGACCCGTCTTAAGGACATTGGATAGAAAATACTTATGAGACACACACAAATAGCACATACACAGGCCATTTTGACTGCAAGGTACACAAAATTAGCATTGACCTTTCTTTTGTCTGTTCTTTTTGTACCTTTCTAGTATTGCTGTTAATATTTTTTGGTTTATTGTTTTATGAATAGTGCATATAATGTATAGAGAATAAGCTATAAATAGATGACCTGATGTATATTATAAGCACCCATAATTGATCCTAACTATTCCATTGGAATAAAAATTTATGTGATCCTTAACCTTTCTTTTTCCTTTTTTCATATGGTATTGCATTTATGTTACAGGTTAGAATCTCCCCCTTGTTTCCATATCTGAGGTAAGTTTGAAAATAAATGAAATAAATAACCCCAATTCGTTCTCCTGGTCTCACTGTACATCAATAACTTGCACCTGAGCTCGCTCATCTTTAAATTAATACGCCGGTCCTTTCCGGCAAACCATCCGGAACCCGCTTCTTTAAAAATTAGTAATCCATTTTAATTTAAAACGTCTCAACTTGTGAAGCAAAAA